CAATTCGAATCTCAGTTCTTTATATCCCAAAGGTAAACAGTCAGTTCCATTTGAATAGTCCCAGAGGTTATCAAAAGTCTTCAGGAGCCCCTTTAGTTAAGTAGCTTCCCTATTTTCATATTTAAATCTCCAGTAATCCTGGGGTAGTTGGGAATAATCCAGTAAATATTTTCACACTCCTTCTCATAAGTATTTCCAGGCTTGTAGTTTTTGCTTTTGTTGGCAGGTGGCACTCTCAACTTAAATTTCAGTATTACCACTCGGCAATTGTCATTTTAGTTATAAATCAATTATAAAAACTGAATAAGTTTTATAGGTAAATAATTCCAGCATTTTAAAATGCCTTCCCAGTACCATAGTTTCCTGATGTAAGAGTACAATTTTCTATATATTTCAAAATTTATTATTTTTCTATCTTGTGTCTTCCTCTTCCAGTCTGATATTTCTCAGAATGCTTAGACATCGCTTTAACAAATAATTCTGAGCAAATAATTCCAAATTATTCCTTGAGGTTAAGTTTAAGGCAAAAAGAAATCCTCTTCCTCCAGTTCCAGTCACTGTTCACCTATTTTGCTCCAGGACCAGTCTTCGTTGTTGTTCTTCAGTTGTCCCAGTTTTGTGGCAGCCTTCTTTAAACTGTCTCTTCTTGATGTGGCTGAGAAGGAAAAAACTCGGGTTAGATAGGAGAACCGTGTTTCTCCTCAACCACACAGGGCGCCCCTCTTTTCTTCACCACCCCTACAAGGCTGCTTTGGCTCTTCTCGGAGCCCACCAACAGGGGGAAGTCATCACAGGGAACATGGAAACCCGTTCCCTGTGTCTGTTATTGCCAGGATGTCAACTGGAAATCCACTTTCTACCCACTTCTAGCCAACCATAGGCAATGCATTTTAAGTATATATAGTCAAAACCTTCCTCGGTTAGAGGGCTTCCTGAAGGAAGATGAAATCCAACAGATCAAAAATTACCCAAATAGACAAGAATAAAATAGAAATATCTCACAGACAAGTGATAAGTTGGGGGTTTTCAAATTAGGCAACTGAGGTATGTGGTCTTCAACTTTAAAATGTGTGGACTTCAGTTCCCAGGATTCTCTACATACTCGTTGAGAAATTTTGGGAACTAAAGGCTACACATTGCCAGGTTTGATCGACAAATACTAGATTGTTCAGGAGTGTCAAACTTAAGGCACATGGCATGCTTAGGTGTGGCCCACAGGGCTGGTCTGGAAATATCAAAGGACCGTCCCATTTTCGGACTCTATGGACTCCTGTAGCACTCTGCTGGCCGAAATGGGCCATAGGGGGTGGGGGTCATACACACCCATGGCCCATTTTCGGCCGGCAGATTGCTGCAGGAAGTATCTGTCCCATCTCCCCTCCCCCTCAGGGGCCCTTGGAGGAGAACTACAATGCTGATCCAGCTCTCAAAGCAATCCAGTTTGACACCCCTGATCCAAACTGTCCTAGAAGGGATTAATCATAATAGTTCTTAAGCTGACAAAACAATTTTTAGAATGTTTCTGTATAAAAAGTTTAGAAAATGGGATTTCATTATGACAATTTTTGCATTAGGCTTCGGCTTAAAGACCAACAGGAGAGAGAGATAGTCCATATTCTCATAGATTGCTGCCTGCAAGAGAATACTTACAATCCCTTCTACGCGCATTTATCTGCCAAGTTCTGTGAATACGAAAAGCGATTTCAGGTGAGTGCAAAACTTGTTTTGTTTAATTTTTTGGGCCAGTTATACATTTGACATTCTGAGAATAGAAAGGATATTATCAAATAATAAACCTATGGCTTCTAAAGATATTTATTTTAGGTCATTAATTTCTAGAAGCAAAGAAAAGTATTGAATGCTTCTATGTGTCTGTAAATCTCCCCGTGTCCAAAAAAAAGACCCTGATGTGACATAGCTACAGAGCTGAGCTGCACAATACTTTGTGTGCAGAAATGCTCAGCATCTCTGCAGCTGGAGGTTTCAGACTAATTTCAGAAAGGTCGCTGTCTTCCCCTTCACTCCAAATCTCAGCTCTCTCTTCTCAGATTCCTAAATATATTTTAAAGGAAAGAAATACCAAAGGCCAGGTTGTGTTCTCACCTCTGTTTCAGCCTTCTGAGAAACAATATAATTTGAGACTAGGGAGCACTACAAAGCCAGCTTCTTCCCTTTGATGCTGTTGAATCCTTTATATAGTTGTCTCCTGTTTTTATAATAGGTAGTTCTTGCGAGAAGGAAAAGCGCTTGGAAATGAAGAGATATCGCCTGTGCTGTGATGCATTTGTTTTATTTATTTGGTTTTTAGAGCCAGATACTTATTGATGATTCTGGGTGGCCTGCAAATAATTGAAACCATCTTTAGCACATTAAAAAAAACCTGATCAAATTAGATCTACAGTATTACACCATTGCTAGTACATGACAGGACTACACATACATTTGAACCAGAGGCAGCTGAGGTCTTAAGCTCCCAAAAGCCGACAGGTTCTGGGGCCCCCTGGGGGTGGGGGTACTGCAGGAGAGAAGGCATGCCTGCTGAGTCCCATAAGGTGGCTTTCTTTCATTAGTGGACTTGGAACATCCAAAACCTGTGAGACATTATTGCATAGGCATGAAAAATTGGGAGAGAGGCAGTCCTGCACATATCCAGGCATGAAGGGTTTTTTTTTCTATGATTATCAGCACCTTGATTTGCACTCAGAAGCAATGGTGACTCATTGGCCTCATGGTGACTGGGAGGACTTGCTCCCCTCGTAAAAGTTCGCTTCCTGTGGCTGTCAATCTTTGGCAACTTTTCGCAGGGTCAGTTTAACTGTGAAATAAAAGATAATAGAATAACAGAGTTGGAAAGGGGCTTTTGAGGTCTTCTAGTCCAACATATCCTTCTAGATATGCTCTTAGGGGACCTGGTGAAATGCTGTTTTAATATAATGCTTTCTGCTTTTGTTTTGTGAATTAGATCACATTACAGTTCAGTATCTGGGACAAAATCAGAGATTTGGGAAGCCTGTCCGCTGCTGCTTTCTCCAACTTAGTTAATCTTGTAACTCACCTGCTAAAGACTAAATGGATTTCTCTTACTGTCTTCAAGGTAAGTAAAATTATTTTTAAAAATGTTTAAATATTTACAGCTCTCAAGCTCACGCATAGTGTGGTTTTGTTTGTAATTCCTCCTGTCAGGGCAGAATATATGACTCATTAAATTTCAGAGGAAAAATGTCAGCATATACTTTTTTTGTGCTGGTTTTCAATTTGCATGTAGTCCTTAACTTATGGCCAGTCACTTAATGACCATTTAAAGTTACAATGGGCTCAAAAAGGGGGCTTTGTGGCCTGTAAAGCACTATTTCAGGTTCCATTTCAAATTTATTGAAGCAAATTCCCTCACTTCTAAGCAATTGCACATGTAAATGATTAACGTAATTGGATTTTTAAAAAAAGGATTTTCAGTACCAGAGCAGAGATGTAGCAGTCAGATAAGATGTGCTGGGTACCCCAGGGGAGGCCTGGCGCATGCCACATGCAAACTCTGCTTGGATTTTCAGCCCCTGAGCATAGAGACATGTGGGGCTTGTGCCAGGCCTCCTAGAGTCTCCCCCACGGCACTGAGCACCCTCACCTTACATAGGACTCTTTTCATTAACAACCGGATTATTCCAGCAGGCAGTAACTAGGAGATGGGCCTCTTCTGTTGCTCCTGCCCTATGGAACATCTCTTTCCCCCAGTGTGAGCTCAGCCACAATCCTCCTGACCTTCCGTAGGAGCCTAAAGAGCTGTCTCTGCTAGTTAACTTGGGGCTCCCATGGGAGAGCATCACAGTGGAGGTGATTGGTCGATTAACAACAGACCCCCCCACCTCCCTCCCCATCCTGCTCCTGTCCTTCCCGTCTTTTAATTGAATCGTAAGCGTTTGGATTTCATATTAATTTATTTACGTTTTTAGTTTATGTAGTTTTTATTATTTATGATTGAAAGCCGTCCATTTTATCTTGAGATAAAATGGATTGTCTGTATAAGTTTTATAAATAAATAGTGAGATCATTTAAGAAGTGCATTTGGGAGTTCCAGGATTGTGGCCAACAAGCAAAGCAGTCACATGACATCTCACTTAAAGACTGTTTCTCTGAGCAACTGAGATCCCGGTCCCATTTGTGGTTGTAAGTCAAGGACTACCTGCACTAACTAACGGAGCGTAATAACTTTAAGGTTTAAATAAATGGCTGTTCATTAGTTAATGGAAGTTCTATCACATTCCTAGAAGTTATGAAGTGTGAGATTTTTTTTTATGATGGAGTCATGATTGGACATTAAATTCTTGCTATAAGTTCAAGCAATTGAAGCCAGCTTAGGAAAAATACTGCTGACTTTTCTTTTTCATTAATGTACATCAGATGTTAACTATATCACACTAAGTGGTCGTATTTTTAAAACAATCTGATACGCTGATGGTAGGAGTGTGCATGCTTTGAAAATGATTTTGAAAGAGTGCTTTGGGCCTCATGCAAGCACAGCACCTTCTCTGCTGAGCCTAGGAAGAATCGGGCTGATTTGGGCGCCCGCAGAGAGTCTTCATGAAAAGCTGTCATCCAGACCATTTGCTTTGATCTGATCTTCCCTTTCTGTTGAATTAGGTGATTGAATTCAGTGACTTAGATAAGCCAAAAGTTCACTTTCTGAGACGGGTGTTGTCTGCGTTATTCCTAAAAACGGAACAAGAAGATCTCAACCATATATTTGAAAAGTAAGTCTTCTCAAGTATTCTGAGTAGGAGGTTCTCGGGCCATTTTTTATCATTAGAAAAGAGTGCTTGTTTGTTTGTTTGCTTTTAAATTAATAAACAGTCCTGGATGCACCTTGCATCAAGTGTTTACACAGCATCTCAGTTCTTCTCCTGAGCCCAGATGGAAGCATTGAGCTGAACTAACTTAACTAACCAAGCCATAAAATAGTGACACAGGCAGTCTTCAACTGACATTCTTCTGCTTAGCAATAGCACTTATATACCACTTTACTGTGCTTTATAGCCAGTGGTGGGTTCCCGGATCCCGGTGCAACTGGTACGGGGCCCGGTGGCCACCACATGAACGCACGTATGCATTCTTACCTCCTTCGATACCTCTGCGACACTCCAGCTGCTTGGTGGAGCGTTGCACAGGTGCCCTACGCTCCATGTGCGGAAGCGCCGAAGAGCTGTAATACAGGTAAGGACAATGGGCAGGCCGGTGGGCCCTCCGGAGCACCGGTGCTCCTGGCAGGCACCGGTACACTTGTACCGGGGCGTACTGCCTGCAACCCACCACCTTTTTTTATAATCCTCTTTAAGCAGTTCCTCCTGGACCCACAGCTGACTTTTGAACATCACTTGTCAGCTGTGACCAGGGGGGCATTTGCCCAGGTTCACCTGGTGCACCAGTTGCGTCCCTACCTGAATCGGGAGGCCCTCACAACAGTCACTCACGCCCTTGTGACCTCTAGACTGGACTACTGCAATGTGCTCTACATGGGGCAGCCCTTGAAGAGCATTCGGCGACTCCAGCTTGTCCAGAATGCAGCCACGCGAGCGATCGTGGGTGCACCTCGGTTCACTCACGTAACACCTATCCTCCGCGAGCTGCACTGGCTGCCTATTGGTCTCCGGATACGCTTCAAGGCGCTAGTCGTCACTTATAAAGCCCTTCATGGTATTGGACCTGGGTACTTGAGAGACCGCCTACTGCCAATTACCTCCACCCGACCGATTAGATCCCACAGATTAGGCCTCCTCCGAATTCCATCCGCCAGCCAGTGTCGACTGGCGACTACCCGGAGGAGAGCCTTCTCTGTGGCTGCTCCGACCCTCTGGAACGAACTCCCCGTGGAGATTCGAACCCTCACCACCCTCCAGGCCTTCCACAAAGCCCTTAAAACCTGGCTGTTCCGACAGGCCTGGGGCTAAAGAAACGTTGCCTCCGTCTCGAATGGTATGACTGCTGTGTGTTTTAAACTATGTATTGTTTTGCGTCGTTTTTAATTTTGTCTGTATCCCCCCCTTCCCTGGTTGAGTTGTGAGCCGCCCTGAGTCCCCTTCGGGGGGAAAAGGGTAGCATATAAATAAAATCAACATTCAACATAGTCAACATGTTGCTTCCGACAATCTGGGTCCTCATTTTACCAATCTTGGATGAATGGTCAACTTCGAGTTGATGAGGATCGAACTGCTGGCAACCTGCAGTCAGCAGAAGTAACCTGCAGTACTGCATTGTAACCACTGCACTACCACGGCAACTTTGCAAAGCTACACTGGCACTGAGAGAAAAACCCTTATGACCGGTCTTCAGTTTTAAAACCATTGTAGCATCCTCACATGATCAAAATTCAGGTTGGCTTGGCAACCAACATGCGTATATGATGCTGGAAGCATCTTAGGGTTACACGATTGGCATTTGCAACCTTCCCAGCAGGCTTCCAAACTAACAAAGTCAAGGGGGGGAACCCGGATTTGCTTAATGATCGATGATGATTCATTTAACAACTGCAATGATTCACTTAACAATTATGGCAAAAAAAAAAAGTAAAATTAAGCACAACTAACTTAACAACCTTCTTGCTTAGCAGTGGAAATTCTGGCCCCAGTTGCCATAAATCAAGGACTACCTGTATAAATCTTGTTCGTCTAATACAAGTAGTCTTTGACTTATGACCACAATTGAGTCCAACATTTCTGTTGTTAAGTGAGATGTTTGTTAAGTGAGTTGTGCTCCATTTTACAACCTTTCTTGTTCCAATTAAGTGAATTGCTGCAGTTGTTAGTAACCTGGTTGTTAAGTGAATTTGGCTTCCACATTGACATTGCTTGTCAGAAGTTTGCAAGAGATCATCACATGACCCTAGGAACACTACCACTGTAATAAATATGAAAAGTTGTGAAGCATCTGAATTTTGATTATGTGACTATGGGGAAGCTACAACAGTCGTAAGTGAAAAACAGTTAAGTCACTTTTTTCAATCCGTTGTAATTTTGAACAGTCACTAAATGGAATCTTGTAAATTGAGGACTAACTGTATTGCTTTTTATTATATATTACATGTACATTCTGCCTTTATTGTTTTTACAAGTAAAAAGGCAGTGAACATATCCAACACATCTTCCTCCTCTTTTCCTCACGACAACAACCCTTTTGAGGTGGATTGGGTTGAGAGAGAATGTCTGACCCCAAATCACCAAACTGGCTTTCATGCTTAAGGCAGGACCCACTCTAACCCAGTATCTTAACCATTACGATGTTGTATCTGTCTAAAAGAAAATACAAATTGTTTAAAACATGGCTTTCTTATTTTCCAGGTTGGCTGACAATCCCAAACTGGGGATGCTACATGAAGGCTTGAAGCTTTTTCTTATGCATTTCTTGGTGAAAAATATTCAAGCTCATGCAGATGTTAAAGAAGGTGCTTTGCTAAAAGAGAAAATCGATTTAGTAACTAAAACACTGAAAGCAAAAGAATCGAAAGTGAAATTATAATATCAAGACCATATTACAGATTTTCCCTTATGAAAAGTAAAGAAAGTAGTTGGGTAATGTGGTGCCATAGGATATATAGATGTCATTGTTCTATATAAATACTTCACCAAACCATGGAGCTAGTTACAGTTTTATACTCAGATTTATATGCATATATTGAGAAATATATGCACATATAAATGCTTTTTAAATAATCAGGGATTTTATTAAAAAGACAAGACAAAATTACCAATGAACATTGGAAGATTTTGGGCAAAAAATTAAATTTTATTTCAAATGTTCCTTGATATTTTCTTACTAAATCTCTTTTAAAGCTACACATGGAGCATTGAGTTAGATTTATATATAAGAGTAAGGATGGCCAAGTTAATTTTATATTTCTCATCCCATTTTATTCTTTTTGTAAATTTTTATCTTGCTTTTAATCTTGTTTGTAATGCAAAAACTTAAATTCCCTACTGTTTTTCTAAATTAGCATTCTGTGTAATTTAAAGATGTACTTTGCACATACAGTGAATGATAATATAATACTTTAATAAAAATAATACCTAATTTTATATTACTGATTGATCTTATTACTATAACTTATTTGTACTCGTAATTCTCCCCTCCTCAATTCATTCTTCATCAGTGTCTTTGTTTACAATTCTTTTCCTTCCATCATCTTTTGAGCATTTTTTGACACAAATGTCATCTTTTCAGAAAAAATATTTGATTGCTTCTGGTGCACCATTTATTTTTTAATTCTCCTAAAGCGAAATAACAAATAAAATTTTGTCTGGAAATAATGTAGAAAGATAGCGACTTCCAGCCTCATCAATATCTAAATTTAACCTGTGTCATTTAATCAAAGAGATCAATATCAAAAATAGCATGTGAAGCGTTAAGAATGGTGGCAAATTGCACACAAGTGTTTTTTTTTATTCACTTTCAAATCCGTGTCAGTCCTTCAGGTTATATCTGTCTAAAAAAACCAGTCAGGCAGACCAATACCATTTTTTTTTCTTTTTACAAGGTTATAGTAGTGCTTCTCAATCTTGGCAATTTGAAGATGAGTGGCCTTCAACTCCCAAACTTCTCTAGCCAGCTAGCTGACTGGAGCCTTCTGGGAGTTAAACTATACATCTTCAAGTGCCCAAAGTTTAGAAAGACCGAGTTTATAGTAATCAGATTTTGCAAGTCCTAAACTCCCCAAGATATAAATTGCATTATCTTGAGGCCTTGCCTAATCCTCAAGATGCAATTCTCAGGCTGATTTTATCTGACAAGTGTCTTGGCTGTGAAGGCCATTCCTTCTGCCAATTACATCAGGAAATTCTAAGGGAGTTAGCCAGATTGGAAAGTTAGAACACTGATGGTCTCTCATGCAAGTGTTAACAAAAATTTTGGTTACTTTTTTCCTAGCGCAGAGATTAGCTAAGGTGTCCTTGCTGCCCTACTGGGAAAGTGCTCTTATTACCGGTACTTTAGCATAATTGCTTGGTGGGCTTGTATTTTGTAGAAACTAGCAGCTGTTACAATTACAGATAATAAGTATATATCAAGATAATTGCCTCTTTCCCTGACCACTTGTAATTGAATACAGCTGGGGTTTTCAGACTTTTTTTCAGGCTGTAGAACCTATATGGATTTTTTGACACCTCAAGTGAAGAACACCATGATTTCTAATCTAGCTGATTTCAGAGAAGTACATAGCTTCCAAGAAGATAAGTCCACTGGTGTGATGCCTCCAAATATAGAGGCAGTGTCTCCTTCATATTCCTTGAACCAGCAGCAATAGGAAGGGAGAGAAATCTTCGGTTTTCTTTTTGTGGGCTTCCCATATGCAATTGATATGTGAGGTGGATGGACCTTGTGTTTTCTTACAGGTCAGTCCTGTAATGCATTATCAAAAATACTATGTGGCTGCAGGGATCAGATGTTGATCTCAAGTAGTTCCATAATTTGAAATATGTGTAGACCTTGGAGTTCTTGAAGATTTGTCTGATAAAACTCAGATTCTCCAAAGTCTCCCCAAACAGAAAGCTTACCCACAGAGAGACAATAGGAATAGAAATTTTAAAAAGGGAATATATTTATTTAGAATCAGACTACCTTCTGGACGCCTCAGAGCCCACATTTCCTAAATTGCCAACCACTCAGGAATTAAGAGTCCAAGATATCTGAAGACAGTAGTTGGACACAGCTTTATTTAATGGCTCTTTCAACACCACTTGGCCCCAGAGACAGCCCCTCTGACCTCTGGGGGAGAGAGAGATTCTGCCTAGCATGCCTTGTTTGCAGTGTTAGCTGGCAGAAAGCTGTCTTTACAGCTGGGGCTGTATCAAGATAAGGACTTTTATTCCCCTCCAGCTGAGTAAACCAAAATAAATGGCGCTTCTGTGGTAAATCAAGGCCCTCTGTTTATGGATGGGTAGTTCCTCCTGAACACCCAGATCCAAGGGAAGGAAAGCCCCCTCCCTCCCTTCCCCCCCCCCCTCCCCCCCCCCTTTGTCTAGTTCCACCATAAGCAAAGGCAGTTTCAGGTTAAGTGTCCCTTAAGCAAATGTGAAAGGGAAATGAATAGGCCCAGGTGGGAAGGTATATATATCATGCATTAACCCTTGAGTAAACTGAGGGTGTAAATGATGTTTCTCAGACAAACCTGTTTGTGCAAATCAGTTTATGCAAATCAAAGAACTGAAGTAGAGGTGAGCCTGTCATTCAATGGATGCACACACACACACACACACAGAGAGAGAGAGAGACACGTTCAAAATGTTGCTGAACTACAAGTCCCAGCATTTCTCATTATTATCTGCTGGTTTAGGAATTTCTAGAAGTGTTCTGGAAGCCATAAATCTCATCTTGGATATTAAGGCAATGACAGGAAAGCATCTACACCAAGTGTAGGCATAGAAAAGGGAGATTTTCTTTTCACAACAGGCTACATTCACATATCAAGATAAGTGAATGAGAGAGCACAAATTGAGACTCTTGGTTGCTATTTTTAATGAAGCAGAAATGGCGATATCCCTCTCATCCCCTTAAACTAAAAACTCTTCTGTGGCAGAAATGGAATAACAGAACAGACCATACCGATCAACTATGCTTTCTTACCTAAAATATCTTTCAAGTGTTGGTATAGTCCACCTATTTGCAAAATCAAACTTCAGCAGATCAGCATGAATGTACAACACCATTTTATTCCCTACTAAAAGTTGCAGTTAAGCTGTTATCATCTAAAATTCAATTTTTAACTTTTAACAACGTGATAAGGGGGGGAAAATGACAGGATAGGCTCTCACCAACAGATTAATATCTGTGTTCATAGAATACATTAAATGTGAATCAGCCTTTCCTATATTTGCTTGGCATGCTGTGTGAAAATGTTACGGGTCACTGTAAATTAAAAAAAAAATAGGTAAAACACTTTTAAGTAAGGAAAAACAAGTTGTGTAAATAGTAGATTTTCTTGGGTTTTTTGCAAATCTGGCCAAGTGCAGCTTACTAAACACAGATAAACAATGGTATAGGATGACACATAAATCCACCCATCAGCTTGCCTATCCAGATTCCATTGGCCATCATGAATAAATCAAGTTTCTCAGGATCCCTTCTGCCACTGAATTGTAAGATTTGGTAATGAAAATAATGTTTCCTGGCTTTTTTGCAATTGCTAAGGAAGAGCACATCCCCTGGAATAGGTCTTTCTTCTATCAACACAACCTCTAAATGACCCCTTTTCTCCCCACATAGTTCACACACCCACAAGCCAAATAAATCTCTCTTTACACTTTTCTCAAGCAGGTTCACCGTGGGGCAGGCTGGGGGTTGTTGGTTTAGTTCCTTCATTTAGTTCCTTCAAACACCTGGTAAGGTCCAATTTGTGTTAAATTAGTTGCTCTTTATGGAAAATAAAATTTTGTCCATTAAAATAAGGGTCAGAAAATGATATTTGGCTTGCCCTAGGATTCCGGGGTGCTAAAAGCATTCTTCAGACATTCTGGGGAGTTTTCAAGTAATCAAAGGTCAAGAATCCAGCAACACCTTTTTTTAACTAACACATTTTATTAAATGAAAGTGTTCATGCACTGCAATTCATGAGATACATAGAGTGGCTAAACTCATGTGGAATTTTTACATTGGGGAGATGGGGTGGGATGGGGTAAGAATGGAAGGTAGGCTAGTTATGCAAATGCAAGAGTGTTTTTTTTAAAGTAGGGATAAGTTGTGTTTAATTTCTTGTCTGAACAGAGGCTGTTTGCACATTTCTTTCCAAGTCCTCTTAATGAATATACACAATCCACCATTTTGGTTTAATAGTATTTGCAAGTCAGGAAGGTGCTACTGGACACCTGATTAGGAGTTATCTAGTAGGAACCTGCTATTCCTCCAACAAGTCTACAAGAGATCAAAGGCAATTAAAAAATACAACTTACCCATGAACTGTGGCTTTTACTCTTTGTGTCCTGTAAACGTGGATGTTTTTTTTTTACAGCAATGAATAATAATCCCCTAAACTAAAGAGCATTGTGCCTTAACTAAATCAAAATTCTTGTTTGTGGGGAGGGTTGTACCTTAATATTTTATTTGTGTATCTGCTAGGCACATTTTCTAATTTGTATTCCTAAAGTTCTCTATTCAAATGAATAATTTGCAAATCAGCGCAAGAGCTGAATGTTATACAACGTTATCTGGGATGAGCTGGGTTATCAAACTATGTAGTAGGTTTGATAACCCACTGACATCATGTGTCACTATTATCCTTTTCATCTTTCCTATTACCTATTCCTTTAGTTTCCTATAGAATAGAATAGAATAGAATAGAATAGAAAGAATAGAATAGAATTCTTTATTGGCTAAGTATGATTGGATATACAAGGAATTTGTCTTTGGTGCATATGCTCTCAGTGTACAAAAAGAAAAAATTGACTAACTTTGTTGTTTGTATCTTATGATTTAGGTTAATTGTTTTTATTACTACATCTTATTACTACCACTGAGTGTTGTATGCTATGATTCATAATGATTGTATTTTATGAATATGATCATGATTTATCACGTTGCTTGTATGTACACTGAGAGATTATGCACCAGAGAAAAAATCCAATCACACTTGGTCAATAAATAATTCTATTCTATTCTGTTTTGTTCTATTTATATTCATCCCCTATTTGGGCCATCTAAATACTTAGAGCCTGCTGGTTTGTAATAATCATTTCATAGAAGCAATGGGACAGATCAGTGGTGGGATTAAAATAATTTAACAACCGGTTCTCTGCCCTAATGACCAGCTGGGTAGGCATGGCTCGGTGGTCATGTGACCGGGTGGGTGTGGCCAACTCAACGTCACTCAGGTTGAAGGGCGCTTGGCCTTAGTTGTTACAATGTAGTAAGGGTTAACTGGAGAGGCAGTTTCTGTAAGCAGGGCAATAAAGGCTAGAAACAACACCAGAAT